GCAAGCGGATGGTGCTGGAATGTGGTGGGGTTGGGGAGGGTGCGGAGTGGTTGATGGCTTCCATTATTGAGAGCAAGAACTTGGCTATTGTTCTTCATATGCCTTCCAGTAAGTCACAGTGAGCCTACAAATTCCTACTGAGTAGCCAAATGGAAATGATTCCGTTTATAGAGAAAACACAAAGCTTGTTGCTTCCCCGTCATTAAGCAGGCTGGGTACACTTAGCAGAACTTTTCCACTTAGGTGTCCAACTCAGGATGATCAGTGACTTTTGCTTAAAATCTAAACATTTTAGAAGCATTTTGTGGGGAAACTATTCACAGGCCCACTCCAAGCAATCAAATAAATAGCCTGGTGGGTTTCCATCCTGGAAGGAAGATGTTTATTTAAGACACACTAACACAGCCCTCTTGCGAGCCTGTAGAAACTGCAGTCAGAACCAAGGACTGGATGGAAGTCTGAGGAAATAATGACTACAGTGAGGAGGGGCATGAGAGTGGGGTCTGGGGAAGGAAACAGCTTGGTGAAAACGGTTACCACTGAACTTCATTGCCCCTTGAAAATGATGCCAGCGGGCGGTAGAGTGGAGAACAGTCTCATTGCCCATTAAGCATCCATGGCTAGAGGGAGTGGCCAGGGCAGGATTTCCAGAGCCTGGGAGGGGTGGGGCTGACAGGCTGGCAGTGAGAGCTCCAGCGCGACTGTGAGCAAGAGCAGGCCAGGATTGAGCGGCGTGTCCAAGGGATGGGGCAGAAGCCAGGAGAAAGCCAGTGAAGAAATGGCAAGAGAGACCCTAACTGGAGTGAGGAGGGAGTGGGGGAGAGGGAGAGGGAGAGAAGAGAGGGAGGGAGAGAGGGGGAGAGAGACTCAGAGTGCACAAGAAGCTGGATATGGTGGTGCACACTTTTAATCCCAGCACTTTGGAGGCATGCACAGATAAATTGCCATAAATTCAAGGTCAGCCTGGTCTGCATCAAATTCCAGGTGAGCAAGGGCTGTTGAGTAAGGCTCTTTCTTGGAAACAAACAGACTGTACCAGGATGTCAGAGGTAGGGCCTCTTCTTGGGTGCCCACAGATGACAGCTTAGCAGGCTGTGATCAATCATAATCGATCCTCTGCCATAACCCAGCCCTAGCATCATCACATCCTCATAGAGAAGATGTGACTCTAGGCCACACTGCAGAATTACCGCCTCTTAAGATAGGAAGCAAGTTCTGAGAAAACAGATTCACCACTTATCCGCCTGATGAAAATTGCCAAGTCACTTGGGCGTAGGCTTGAGCAATACAGGGTAGATTGTGAAAGATAAACTTAGAACCTGCAGTTAGGTTACCAGGCGACACAGGATGGCCTAACCCTCCCACTGACCTCTGCTCCTCCAGGCTCATCGCAGCTGCAGTTAACACCCCCAATCCCTCCCCTCCTCACTTCCTGCCTACGGTCTTATAGAAATCCCTTTGGGATGAATAAATGTTGTTGGCTTGATCAGAATCTTGTCTTGCTGTCCATATCTGTACCCCCGTCCTTCATTTTCTCCTAGGTTTACCCGGTCTTACGTTGACTGTCCCCCGCTGGCATGGTCACTGCATCTGCCTTTCAAGAACTCCATAGACAAGAAATCAGAACATGGGAGAAACACAGCATCAAAAACACTCTGAGCTATAAAGACAAGGTTACAACACACACTGAAACCAGTGGGAGGGAAAACCCAGAGAGCATGCAAATTGGATTCTGACCAAAGGGGCAAAGCCAGGCTAGCACCTGGCATAATGCTTGTGTTTAATTGGTCCACTGAATTAAGAAAGTAGTATTAAAAAGTCCATTTAAAAAAAGAGTAGCCACAGCAGAGACCAAAGGCTGGAAATAACCAAGAAGGAAAACATAGCAAAGTCAAACACCAATGACGATGAGGAGCTAATGCTGTCCTCCATTCCTAAATGGGGTCCCATGGCAAATTATCCTATGCTTGCCTGCCTCGGATGGTTGGACGCTTAACAGTTCAGTTGCCCATGTGTAGTTATGGCTTGTCCCCATGCTTAGCCACAGTCAGAGATCAGTAACTTTCCCTGCAGAGGGAACTGGCTGGTAAGTAAAGACAAGGGAGCCAAAATCAGCCTCGGTATGGACCCACCGTTAAGGGATCGGGATTAGTAATTTCAGCATTGGCCCATCACCAGTCACCTAGAGCTTCGAGAAAATCTGATCGCAGATAGCACCAGGACCAATCTGTGAGTTCGAGGCCAGTCTGGTCTACAGAGCGAGTTCCAGGACAGCCTCCAAAACAATACAGAGAACCCCTGTCTTGAGAAACCAAAAAAAAAATAATAATAATAAAGAAAGAAAGAAAGAAAAAGAAAAAGAAAGGAAGAAAGTAGAGAAAGAAAAGAAAAGAAAAAGAAACCCTTGTGAGAAATGCTGGATTTGGTGAGACAGTGTAGATGCCCTGGGGAAAAGGTGATGTTTAGTGGGTGGGACCCTGCTCCTCATGGTTATGGACAGGAGTAGGGTTAGGACTAGAGTTAGGATTTGGGTCAGGACTCTAGTGAGTGCTAGGGTTAGAGCCAGGATTAGGATTGAGTTTAGGGCTAGGATTAGGATTAATGCCTTGGTTATGCAGGGCTATTGTTAGGACTGTGGTAAGAGTAAGGGCTGGGATCAAGGTTGTGACTGGGGTTAAGGAGAGTTTTTACTGCCTCCCTTTCTTTGAGTGCCCCCTTCTGGGGTTTGCAGGAAGGAGTGGAATCCGGACTTCCTGTTTATCCTTCTTTCATTGTAGGCAAGCACCTTGGAGATGGGAAATTATTTTACTCACGCTAAGTGCTTGAATTCTCTCCTTTTTACTTTTAATTTATACTATCTCATCACTTATTATCTGACTTCATCTTCAGATATTATTTAATGTCTGTCATCTTCATGGTGAATCTGGAGTTTAGAGAGAATCCTGTTTTCTGTGTCCTTAGAGGTTGAATTTGGCCAACATGTATTGAGCTGGTCAGGAGCAAAATCCAAGGTGAAGGAGTCTGCTCAAAACAGAACATAGCTCATTGATGTGAATTATAACACAACTCATCTATGTGAATTATAACACAGCCCACCTATGTGAATTATAACACGGCCCACCTATGTGAATTATAACACAGCCCTTATAAAATAGCCAACCTATGTGAATTATAACACAGCCCACCTATGTGAATTATAACACAACTCACCTATCTGAATTATAACACAGCTAACCCATGTGAATTATAACACAGCTAACCTATGTGAATTGCAACACAACTCACTTATGTGAATTATAACACAACTCATCTGTGTCAATTATAACACAGTTCATCTGTGCCAATTTTAACACAGCTCATCTATGTCAATTATAGCATAACTCATCTATGTCAATTTTAACACAGCTCATCTGCATCAATTATAAGAGCATTCAGACCTTCCAAGCATTTTAAATAAGCTCACTTATGAGTCTTATTTAAAAATGAATAAATTGCACTTGTTTTCACTAGGAAAAGGAGTTTTCCATCTTGTGGGTGTTACTGAAGGGGGTAAAAAGGAGCAGTCTGCAGGAAAGGAGTTGCCCCTCCCCCTTCCCTGCCCCCCACTGCCTGCAGTTGTGCTGGGCAAGTTACCTTCTCTTACTGCACTTAGTATTTTAAGTGTCCACAAATTACACATGAAAAGGCCAGAAACTTCCTTGCAAAATGGAAACAATTTAATTATGGTATTTGAAAAAAAATCTTCATTTAAAAGGTAACATTATCCTAAATAAGTTTTTCCTTATTCACTTATTTAAAAATTAACTATTCTCTATTCTTGAAAATTTCATATATATACATATTATATGTATATAATAAAACTGCAGTGATACCTTACTTGTACAAATAAAGCCTATCTGAAGATGAGAGAGAAGGAACAAGCCACAGCCACACCTTACCTCGCTTTATTTGTACAAGCAAGGTATCACCACAAAAACTACATTCTGGATTTCCTTCGCCCAGCTCCTCCATCTTTCCTCTGTGTGCCACTCTCCAAACTTCATGTCTTCTTTTTTTAATAACACACCAAGTCTAATTACTGCTGCCTGTGCCCTCTTGTATGTGAAGACCCTATGGCTGATGACATCACACACATAGAGAATCAGTCTCAAACTCACAAGGAAACTTCACAATGTCTAGAGGTGCTATGCAGGCTGTTGGGGTAGAAAAGTCTTCAGTGGTCTTACTCAGGGATGGACCCCATGTGATGCAGTGCCAACCTGCTAGACAGGATGTGCCCATAAGTGTAATAGTGGCATGACAGTCGGCTAACTAACCACTTTCTAATTGGACCTGAAACCTGTTCCTCAGGAGGGAAATTGATATCCCATACTGTATTCCTGGGTAGAACTTGTTGTTGTTAATTTGCTAAAAGGTCATGCTGTGTAATTGCTTTTTGAACATTTATGTTGATACCCATAGACCCGGGTATCCTCTCAGCATTGGTCAAAGACACTCCTTTTGCCTAGGGAATAGGACCTAGAAATGGAATTGATGGACAAGCTAATCTTTATCATAAACATCTTGACAATGCTTTTCATGCCTTGATGAGAAAATCCAAGAGAAGCCTTCCAAGATGGCTACCCCGGCTTTAATCCCCTATAAGCTAACTGAGCTTTAGGATGTCATGTCACTGGGCATAAGACTGAATGCAAAGATCAGTGTGTTGCCCATGTAAGAAACTGGAATATGACCCTCCCCCAAAAGGTGTCACTTCATTCCATGGTGCAGAGGCAGAAAGTTGGCGGCTTGCTGTTTGATCTAATGACCTAGAGATTGCAGTGACAGGTGGGTGGTTGATACAGTTTTGAAAGAAACTTTCCAGGGGTCAGTGTCGAGTGCTAATTCAGTGGTATCTGGTGTCTCCCATGTGTTGTTCCTACTAGATGGCTTTGAAACATGTGCCTCCTGCAACATTCCCAGTTCTCTGAAGCCCCTGTCCTCTGGCTTCCTTCCCCCAGGAAAGTGACAATACTGGAGGACCCTGACCAGAACATTCACCTGAGAAACCTGTCTCTCCATCAGGCAACAACTGAGGAGGAAGCTTTGAACTTGCTCTTCTTGGGGGACACCAACAGGATGATTGCAGAGGTAACGGGCATCTCTCTTGAAGTGACTTTTCCATGAGTATGCTGATCTCAGATTGTCGGTCTAGTGGCATGTGTTTATGTCCCTGTGTATTTTCATTTAGTTGTGTATTTATTTATTTTTATTTATTTATTTATGTCCCTGTGTATACATTTAGTTGGTGAGTTAATATTTGTAAAACTTTCAGAAAATCTCATGGAACATAGGAAGTTGTGTGTATACTGAAAGCATCCTTTGCTAACCTAATGTTCAGGTTTAACTGGGTTTCTTTGTTTTGTCTGAGACCCCTAGGCAGCAGCCAAGATTGACCCAAGCCTTAACCAGTTACTGACCAGGGTTGGAGGGTCGTGAGGTGCCGTTCAGTCACACCTAACCTAAAGGAGTGAATGTAGCGTGAGTGATGATGGTGGCCGTGGTGGCGATGGTGGGGGTTGGGAGTGTGAGAACAAGTCTCTTATGATACTTACAGCTATTGTAGTGACTTCCTTTCTAAACATTGATGTGTGTGACTCCTTTTCCTGCTTGGATGTGTCTGCACCTTGTGCATGCCTGGTGCCCAGGGGAGTCAAATCCCCTGGGTGGGCACTGGGCATCAAGCCTGGGTCCTCTGATGAGCAGCCAATGCTCTTAATTACTAAGCCATCTCTCCAGCCCTAGGACTTTCTTTTAAATCACTCTTTCAGACTTCCATATTGGATATCATTGCTGATGACAAGTGGGCGGTGGAAGTCAGAGAAAGTCTCCAGTGAATATGTACTTTCTGCCGGCATCCCCCCTGAACAGGAAAGGGATAGACCCCGGTCAGACCTGAAAGCATGCTGCTGACATCTTATTACCTTTCGTTTTGATGACATTTTCCTACTAATTTTGTGTGCGGGGGGGGGTAACGCATGTGTATGTGTTCACATGTGTGTCTGCACATGCAGGTGGGGGCCGCAGGTTGATATTAGGTCTCTTCCTCAGTCATTCTCTACCTTATGTATTGAGGCAGGAGCTCTCACTGAAGCCAGAGCTCACTGATTTGGCCACTTCAAATAACTAGCTTGATTCAGTAGTCCCTTGAGTTAGAAGCGTAGCTGGCTTCCAGGAAAAAAGGGGGGTTCCTTTTTCTTTCACTTCCTTTTATATCTACCTGTGTCAGTTTACATGTCTCCGCCCTCATGGGCGGATAGCTTTGTGGGGTTCACTCCTACAGTCCCTAGCTCTAGCTTCTGAGTGCTTGGAGTATAGGCAGGCTGTCCATACCCACCCAACATTTTTGTGGGGTTTGAGCATACTGCCCTTCACACTTGTAAGACAAGCAATTTACCCATTACCTTAGTGACTCTTCTATTGAGATGGCAAATCACCAAGCCAACTGATAAAAGAAGGCATTTCATTTGGGGCTCATGGTTTCAGAGGGTTGGCGTTTATGACCTTCACGGTGGGAGCATGGTAGAAGACAATTAGGCATGGTGCTGGAGCAGTTAGCTGAGAGCGCACGTCTTGAGAGCAGGGAGAGAGAGAGAGTGTTAACTGGAGATGATGTGGGTTTTTTAACCTCAGAGGCCAACCCCAGGAACAGATCTCCTCCAACAAGTCCACACCTCTAAATCCGTCACAAACAGTTCTACCAGCTGGTGACTAAGCCATTTTCATTCAAACAAACACATCCCTGCAGCCAGTAACCTACTAAGTGGATTGTTTAAAACATCGAGCATCTTATGTAGACCACATTTATTGACATAGATCATATGCATTGAAGGACTTTTGAATTGATTCTTTCACTGGACGTAAGTTCACATAGGTTTTCATCTCAGGGTGTCTTATTCTGTTTTCTGTTTTGTGTTTGTGTTCAGTGCTTCAATGTTTTTCCCCATGAGGTCATCTGGGTCACTCTTGCTGTTTCCAATAATTGAAGATTATGCACTGAAGGAAGATTAAAAGTGAGCATGTAAATGAGGACATTCTTAGGAGGGATCTGTCTGTCTCTCTGCACAGGTTCAATAGCAGCCAGCCAGGAAGTGCAGAATGCACAAAGGCTTATGGGAAGGAGGAGCAGTTGTGAGCGTTCGGTGAGACAAGCAGATGAGCTGGCCCAGCCTCAGGGCTAGCCTTCCTCAAGGGTGGCTCTTTGTGATGAGCTGGCCCAGCCTCGGGGCTAGCCTTCCTCAAGGGTGGCTCTTTGTGATGAGCTGGCCCAGCCTCGGGGCTAGCCTTCCTCAAGGGTGGCTCTTTGCTGTGGCATTGCGCTGTCCTCAGTGAATCTTTCACCACAGCTCCTGGGCGTCTGAGAGCTTAGCCTTTGTTACTTCTGAGCTATGCATTACATTTATCTCCCCAAGGGCCTAGGGTGGCTCATAAGTAAAGGACATGCCATGCAAGTGTGAGGACAAGAATTCAGAGCCCGAGACCTAGGAGGGAGCTGCACAGGTGTGAAGGCCGCCTGTAATCCCAGCCCGCAGAAGGGATCCCAGAGCAAGCTGTCTAGCTTCAGTAGCTGACATTGGGGGAACTGATGAACAGCTTTAGTAAGGAATACTGCCATAGTACGTCAAGTGGAGAGTGATTGAGGGGTGCACTTGACATCAGCTTTGGGCCTCAACACACACACACACTATACACACACACCACACACATACTACACACATACACACATAAACCATACATACACACAATACAAACACACACATACCACATATATATACACACACACAACATACACACACAACACACACATACCACACACACACTACCACACACATACACACTCATACCACACATACCACACACCATACACACATACAACACACACACATACCACACATAATACACACACACATACCATACACACATACTATATACACATATACTATATACACACACCACACACCATACACACATACTGTACACACATATGTATATACACACTACACATACACACAATACAAACACACACACACACATGACACACATACCACACACCATACATACATACTATACACACATACCACACAAATACATACACACACACTACACACGTACCACACACCATACGCACGCACACATACATATATACACAATAAATACACACACACCATGCACACATTCTATACATACACCATATACAAATACTCTACACACATATACCCAAACATACACATACATTTTTTAGTTGACTCTTTATAGAATTTTTGGCCATTTTGAAAAGTTTTGTGAACTCACCTCGCAGTCATGAGTCTTTCCTATAACATGCTGGGAAATTTATCTACTAATAATCTCAGAGATGCCTGAAACCCAAAGCGGTTTCAGATTCCAATTCTAGTGTTCATACATTAATATTTGTTTAATGTGCTAATTTTTTTCTGTGTTTGCCCTTATATTTTTCATTTGATAAATCAGTGGTCACAGTCATATCATTCAGTAGACTTGTCATGTAAAATAAATACTTTACACACATTTAAAACTTACATTACTTATTTATGTGTGTGTATTTGTACATGTGCACGCACACGCCAAAGCACACCCGAATGCCAGAGGACACCATGTGGGTCCTGGGAATCAAACTCAGGTCTTCAGTGTTGGCAGCAACCTCCTTTACCCACTTAGCCACCTGCCTAGCCCTCTGATCGTTGTTCCCTGTTCTTAATTTATTGGGGAAACTGAAGCTGGAGGAGTTCTGTGTTTTTCCAGAGCTCAGTAAGTAGCAGTGAGACTCTGCCCCACCCCTTTGGTTCAGAAGCTTATGTCCCTTCATGTCACAACCATGACATAGATATCTGCCAGCTATTTCAAGTATGGGTGTACTTCTGAATTATCTGAAAAGTATTCCAAGAATTTACAACTTCCGTTTATCTCTTGAATTCAATGAAAGTGACCACTTACACATAAAACTATAAATGAAGACTGTCGGCTCCTTGAAAACTTCTTGTTATTCAGTCCCTGGTAAGCCTGTCTTGGATTTCGGGCTAGCTGTCAGTGTGTAATTTGTCAGCACACAATGAGCTTCCCATGATAAAGAGAACACAGTAATCATTTCTTTAAAAAATAAAAAAAATTCTGTTTCTTTTTACACAGACATCTCAAGGTGTTGCCATGGAAACCAGAAAACATTTGCAAAACAAAGTCCCACTATGTAGGACACAAGGTGGAGTGTGCTTTCCTTTCATACCCAGCCTCGTAAGGAAAAGTTACTAAAACTACTTAGTATTTATTCAGCAGTCTTAACTCCTGCAAGCCTACCACTGTTTTGAATAATACTTGATTATGTCCTGAGGGTTTTCCAGTTGACTGGCTGGGCCAGAGAGTGTGAATATTGTAAATCCTGAACTGAGAGTGACCCCACCCCAGGCCCACCCATGGCTGGTGTGACTTGATAGTTTCCAGTCTCATACTCAAGCTGTTCCCACCAATTAGGCCACTGTAACTGAAGAAGGCATGCTGAACCTGCTCCTCAGGCCACCTACTTCCCTGTAAGTCCATTTTCCTGGACCAGCCTTGGTCTCCAGCACTCTCTACCCACACATGGTGGAGTGTCAACCTGGATCAAAACGTCTCATAGCACTTACAAGCTGCAGTTTTGGGGTTGGTGGATTTGAAATGAACTTCACTAAGATGGGCAGCAGTGTGGGCTGTGAGTTTATGTGAGATGAGGTGATGGCTACTCTTGGTTGACAGATTGACTATACCTGGGATGAACTGTAATCCAGAAATGGAGGGACACTTGTGATCCAGATCTTGAGAAAACACACGCCTTTAATCCAGACCTGGACGCTGGAAGGCAAACCTTTCATCTGGGCCATACTTTCTGCTGGAAGCCAGCACATCCATCCCTCCCTGGCATTGGAGCCTACTTCTTCAGATTCCAGCATATACACAAGACCAGCTGAGACACAGCCTTGTAGGACTGAGCACTTACTAGAGTCTTGGACTTTACATTCACAGCTAGTCATTGTTAGACTGTAAGTCATTTCAATAAGTTCCCATATATATGGGAATAAATTCTTTCTTCTCTCCTCCCTTCC